CTCTCTCTCTCTCTGTCTCTATCATCTATATGAATGTACACAAATGTACCCCCACATATGGCTCCTGCTTGATATATCATGGGCCATGTGCAACTATGTTCAGACTCGCACATAGAATGCATTGAGACCCTGCTGCGAGCCAGAATCCTAAACCCTTGAAGCAACACGAGCTTGTCTACAAAACCCAAACCTCTTCAAACCCTATGACACACCCCAGCCCAAGTCTGCCCCCCGACTCCTAGGGAGTGCGGGTAGGTGATGCTGCAGCTCGAGCCTCCCGGGTACCTCAGAAGCTTACACAAATGTTGCAACAGAGGTGTAGACAAAGAAAATAGCAACATCCCCGTACGGCCCCTGTACAGTTATACTATACTATACTTTCAAAATCCTGTTCTGGATTTCAGGTCGCTGTATCCAAAGGGGTTGCCCTGGGGCTGTCAGGGTAGGAAGCTTCCTCCGCCAGGATTCGACAGTCCGGTGGTTGGTGCCTCCTAATATCCTGCATCTTCATTGGGGTTTAGAGTTTCGGTTTCGGGCTTAGGCATACTCAGAAACAGTTGTTGTCCCAGTGGACGACGCCAAGCCGACACAGCAGTTACCCTTGCAAAGACCCTCAAACATGTCAGCCGGCGATTGTTGGCTTCTGGGTTAGCTGAATTCAGAGATAACGTTTATTGTAAGCTGACTTTAGCCTGGCCACCGAATGCAGACTTCGTAGTTCCACTTCTGTAGCTCCGACTTGTCGTCGGTGCCTCACAACGGCAGGGATGAATAGTGCATGATCGGAACATAAAGCAGAATTACCAGTATAACCGTACTCAAAATGCACCGCAAGTCAACATAGCCACAAGCGCGACTCACAGCGCTAGCACGTTGCTATCCTATACTATAGCAGAGATTCTGCCGTAGAGATGACATGTCATTATGGAAACAACAGTGGGGCGAGATAAGAAGGTTTAGGATACGGTGTTGCCGAAGCACCACTTTAGCAAGTGGTCAAACATGGTGATCATTACCACAACCATCATAACATTTAAGTAGGATGCTCATAAATAACAAAAATAATCACAACAACATGAACAATACGAGCACATGTGCCTTGCGATTGCTAACAGAAACAAGAAACAGCTTGCAAGTTAACACACGTGAAAACAGATGTCGTAACAAGCGCCATATTTGCGACTGAACCAATTCGAACATTCGCAAAACCTTCCGGCACGCAACCCAAAGCCAACAAAACTGAAGCCCCAAAGGCACAACACACACACATACACACCAACTCGGCCTACATACTCGAAGGCCCGTTCGAAGAGCCAAGGGCAGTCTCCAGGGCACCGTTCCACAGGAAGCAAGGCCACCTACGACTGTGGTTTCGGGCCTTTCCTTTGCCTCCCACATGGCTAGGACGAACCTCCTAAGCAGAGGTCTTAGATACATATATATATATATATGTATATATGTATATAAGTTGTGGAGTTTCGAACTTACACAGGCAATACAAAGGTCTTGGGTTTATATGGGGTTACGGCTGTTGGCTGAGGGGCTTCGGGGCTTGGGGAACCCTACGGCGCAGGAATAAAACTTTTCGGATCTACAGGGTTGTCGCTTCGAACATATTTAAGATAGGGCCTTCATAATTAGAATAGGGTTTTGGGCCCATTATACTATAATTATAATAAGGAACCCCTGATACGAGGGGCCAAAGCAGACTCAGTTTTCGGTTTGCTCGGCTCGCGGGTATGTGGGTTTTAGGGAGGGAGAGGGGAGGGCTGGTGCTTATCTTTATTAAGCGGATGTGGATTCAACCCGGATCCAGAGGAAGGAGCTCCAAACCGGGCACGATGCCGAACCGCGCACACGTAACACCGCACCTGTCCCTGCCATCCATCCTGCCTCCTAAAATCTCCTAAAAACCCTGCATAGATACGTATATACACATGAATGTATATATATGTATATATGTAGGTATTTTTGGGCCCTATAACCTATGAAACCTAACACCCGAAATCTCGGGCGCCCCCGAAGCGGCAAACAACAGATAGAGATACGAGTAGAGAGAGAAAGAGGGGGTCAAAGCCGCAACATGACGTCGACCGAACGGCTGGATGGACGCCTTGATACGCCATTGGTTCGACTCTATAGTTTATACGTATCGTCCCGTACATACAGCCCTTAAAACAACCCCGACCGTTGTTTGCATCAGGATTTGTGCGATTGCCTGCAAGTCCCTGACCCTAAACGGCTAAACGTATATAAACCCTAAAGAAGCCTCAAGTTTCCAAGTAAATTTTCACTAGAACCCTGAAACATCCTCATGAACCTTACAGAAAACCTTACTAGATCTTCCAGAACCCTTTGACAGGCTTGTCATAAGAAAGAAACGAAAGAAGGAAGTTTTTTTCGCATGCTTCCCAGCCTGCTCCGGGGGATCCTCGCGGGCATCGGAGAGCTCGGGCAGAAAGACCTCCTGCAAATCGGGCTGTATGGGGTTTCAGATGAAGGGCTTTGCTGCTGTGAAGGTTTGGAGATTCTTGCAAGGGGTGCTGAGATATCCCGGTTTTTGCAGCTTTCTGCAGACTTCGAGCCTTCGAGCTATACAGCTTGCTTGACGCGTCGTGCTTTCGTCTCGGGGGTTCATGATTTCTCGCACTTGAAGGAGAATCTTAAAGCCTGAAAGCATCCCTTTCAAGGTTCAGGACTTCTGGCGATGCATAGCAGCTTTTTCAAACTACCCATAGGCCCCATAGTAGTTCCTTTTTGGGATTACATACATAGGATTGTATATATGAGCCCCAAAAAGGAACTACTTTAGGGCCTATGGGTAGTTACTTGCACTCTGCTCTTGGCGCCTCGGCATTTGTCACGGACACGCCTTCTGCTCCGCTAATCCAACACCGCAGGATGACGTTGGAGCCAATGACCTTCAAGTGGGTAGTTGTCAAAATTATGGTCCCTTTTAACTTTTGGGGTACCCTAAATTATAGGTGCCGTATTATAATAGGGGCCCAAAAAGGGACCATAATTTTGACAACCACCCAAGTGGCAATATCACTGCATGGACTGTAGGGGCCTAAATGATTTTAATAAGGTCCTGGGGCCCATGATACTATACGTATAATACAAAGGAACCCCCAAGATAGCATTGGTAATCATCTAGACACCTACATTACCGCTTGCTCCACTTGGCGCATACTTGTCGCAGCTAGCCACGGGTGACTGTCGCAGCTCTTTTCCCTGGACTGCTTCATGCGCTTCTGTTGGCGAGCTAGACAGGCTTGTGTTGGACATCAACACCTTTAAAGCAGCATGGAAAGGAGGCCTGCACTCCGAGCACATGCTTGGGATCTGGATGCTGGCCATCCGCGAGCAGCTGAATATCGTCATCCGGGATGATGCAGGCCTGTTCTGAGGGCAGGTCCAACTTTCTGGTGTCAACTAAGGGTTCAGGGAGCTTCACTGGGGGGGGGGGCGGGTGGGTTGGGGGTGGATCTTAAAAATTCAGGGTGTTGGCATTTGTGTTCGAAGGCCTTACTAAGCCCTACGAGTTGAGCACTTCGTTGGGGTCGGTCGCCCACACCCGCTTTGAGCTGCAGTGACGACACCGTTCCTTGAGTCACTGAGTTCATGCAGGCACTGATTAGCCAGAGTCCCTTTTGAACCCAGACTCTGCCAATCAGCTGGGAAGCAGCACGTCCAGATTATTGCATCTGGCAAGTAGCGCCAGAGTTCCTAAACCCTAAACCATGAGTCCACGGCACGTACAAAACCTGTATGTTTTTTCAGAGACCCCACGCCGGTCCAAGCCCCTAAGGAACATGCCTCAAAGTGTAGCAGGGGCCGTTAACAGATAACAGAGGACTGGCAGCAAGATGCCTGAGAGTAGCTTTACAGCTCCGGTCTTATTTTTGCTGTTCTCCCGCTCTAGTTTTGGGGTTGTAGGCTAGAGCTTGGGTCCTGGGGCTTAGGCTCCAAGGTTTTGATCTGCCGATTTGGGCTGGCTGAGTCAAACCGCAAGGAAGTCAGGTCGACCCTTTAGAAATAAGCCCCAGTTCATGTTAAGTGCCTTCATCTATCGGGACCAGCCCTACCACAAGCCATGTTCAGGGAGAACGGGGCTGTAAACTAGGGGAAAAGTAGTGTTCTACACCGTTTAGGCCTTTTTCGTGGCTATGGAATCCGCCGAAGAGGGGCCACGATGCAAACCGGCTCAGTCTTTATACCGGCCGAATGTTGCGGCCCGGGCTGACATCTAGATGTCTCGATCTCTTTGTTGGTAAAATCATAGTACAGTATAGTATTGGTGTGGATGATCTCTGCTAAAGAACACCCGCCACATTCCTGGGAACAAGAGCTACCTGGCTCCGGGTCCCAGCCGGAGCGAGATCCAGCATCGGCTGTCTTGGAAGACCGTGCCTTCTTAAGGAGCAGACGTGTCTTCCTGCTAGCAGCTACTAGCTGCAACAGGCTGACCCCTTCATATAGTACGAACAACCAAGATTCCCCAAGCACGCCCTGGTCCTGAACCCAGACCATAACCATATACCCCGAAGGGTCCAAAGTACCTGTATAGTAGAATGTAGGGTTTCCATACTTGGAATCAATAGTATGATTTGGGGAAGCTGCCCCCCCCCTAGGAGCCTTTAGTAACTGGTACGGTTCCCTTGATTTGGCAGCCAGACCTCTGGGACCCACGGCAAAAGGCGCAGCTGGAAATCTTTACCTCAGAACAGAAAATTCATTGAGCCGGAGGGCTGTGATGTCCCATGGGGATTTGCGGTGGAGTTCGGCTTAGTATGGAGGGATCGTTCAGAATCCAGGACAGGTACTTAACAACTATGCTCTTATCGCTTAGGCCCATGTGCTGTAGCCATGAACGGGGTCAAGGTCCGGTGAATGGCAAACAAAAGGGTTAAGGGCATGTCTACGATCTTATCACCCCCGGCTGTTGCTACCGGTGATGATGCTTGCAGCACTGCAAGGTCCGCTTCGTCCGACGTGACACTGCGACTACTTTTGCTGCAAGCAAGTCCACGTGCTACAGTCTGATGAAGGAAACAACGAGAGCCCTACACCCCGTAGTCTGCGGCTAGCTGAATGCAGTTGGATCTCGGAAACCGCCACGTTCTGAGTCTGTAAGGAGATAATAGGACAGCTGACCCCCTGCTTACGACTCAACGACCACGCCAAGAATCACAGGAAGAAGATTTCCAACCGGACAGAATCTGATCCTTCAGCTGCCGCGATGCTTGGACAAAAAGCCCCTAAACCCCCAAACCCTGAACCCTCAGCCCTCAGAAGCCCCTCACCCCCAAAACCCTGAACCCTCAGCCCTCAACCCCTCCAGGAAGGAAGCCAGGGTGCCCATGACAAAGGCTGCAGAGCTCGTAGGCAGAAGGATCCGAGTTTGGGACTTCGGACGGCGACGGCTTTGGACGCTGCGGCCCTTGAGTCCCTATACTTCTAATCACTTCCAGCTTTTTTCAGGGTTTTAGGGTTTAGGGTTTAGGGTTTAGGGTTTCTATGAAACAGCACCCGAATATTGCATCAAAGGGAAAAAAGCACTTTCCGGTAACTCCGTCTGAAATCACCCGCCGGCTAAACCTACTTTGAACTGGGGGGGACTGGAGCAAGAGCAGCAGCAACAGCAAGATCCCCCCGAGTGACATGTAGAGATACCTGCCCAAAAATGACAGTAAGAGTAACGCGTTTCGAGTTCCTATGTGGGAAGCCCTCCGGTGAATATTACCCATTCACACTGGAAGAGAACAAATCATGATGTCAGGGACACTGATAAGTAAAGAAATATACCCCACGCTGCAATTCCGCTAGAAATCAGCATTAAGGTCAAGAGCCGCCTGAACGCCGGCGGGCCCTCTAGGGGCGGCCTCCTTCTCGCCAGAAGGCGAGAGGCATGCTTTGTCAGCTGAAGTTGGGCCAAATGGAGTGCCACCTCGCAGGTAGAGGCAAGGTCTACTGATGGCTTTACGCGCTGCAAGGAATGAGGAAAGACGGTTTAAGTGGTTGTGGATCGAGAAGTTAGCTTTGTGTGGATTAGGGTTTAAGGCTTTCGGCTTTCACAGGGCCTAGGGTTTCAGGGAATGTCGGGTGGGTTCAGGGCGAGACTGTTTTTTTCCTATTCTTGTCCAAGCACGCGCCGGCTGCACGGAGCAACCTCATTCCTACTCCTGTTCTCAGATGTCTGCCTTGCCCAGAGACTCGAATCTCTCTTAGCTCCTTCTTCTCACAAAACCTAAAAGCCATCATGTGCTTTCATAAACATAAGCCTCATTCGGGATGCCAGCGTCATTTGAGGAGCACTTCTTTACCGAGTGGTTTTGGAAGTCTCCAGGGCTTTTGATTGCCGACCCCGCACTTTAGGCTCAAGAGCTTTCCAACGCGGGAAATTCTTGGAAAACGATGGCAGCTCTTGGCTGGTGCTTGCGGAACGGTCCTCTGCGTCTATCAACCTGTACTGCCAAGGATCCCATGAATTGGACCTTGAGCTTTACTGTGTCGCTGACTGCGAACATGGCAGAGCCACGCCCGAACTACGCAAGCACCTTTGAACACTGAACAAGGCCCCCAGCATCAGGCAGCTTTTCATGTCCACTCGTTAGGGAATCGACAGTGGTGGTGATGATCCGTCATAAGCCATACGCATGATCTGATGAGACGTGCGAAGACGCATGACCCTAACAAGCAACAGGCCATTGCAAAATGGACTACCCCCTTTTTTGCATCAGGGCTTGTGCAATCGCCTGAATGTCGAAACTACCCTACACCCAAAACCCTGAAGCCGAGTTTGGGGGAGGGCGCGGCCACCCGTCGGCTTCGCGCTGCAAGGCGAAAGAGAAGGTTTTTGGGTATGCTACTATACACGGGCAAGAATCATCCCAACAAGACGACCAGGCAATAACATTCCCAATTATTCCGACATATTCCGAGCCTATATCACGCATCCTGAATGCTGTTCGGCTTCAAAGTTGAATTTCCTTGCTCAGCCCCGTTCCTGGCTAACCCTTCCAGCTAGGGATTGTGGATCTGCAGCCGCAATCTTCTTGTTTGTTGCTCTCTCTCTCTCTCTCTCTCTCTCTCTCGGTGTTCGAGCTTGGAGGAGACAACGGCCCCTAACCTTATTCTCGACATCCCAAACCCGATCCCAAAACCGCGTGAGTGGTCCGACTGTTGCTCAAGTCCAGTCACGGCAGCTTCCATGTTGCGGGGGCCACTTCCACAGACTGTACAAAACAAACCTGGCTCCATGTTGGGGCTATATTAACAATGATCATTTTTAATCCTGTTTGGGTTTTATTATAACAAAAATGTAGAATTGTAGCCAACAAGGACCCAGAAACGTGCAGGAATAAATGCCTGTTGGTGCTAAGATATTAGAATCAGAATCAGCATCAACTGACCATTCATGAACACAAGCTAATGCAAGCAAGAATAGCCATCCTATAATTATGCCAATGCTTAGGATGACCATGGTTTTGCAACACGAACAGATAAATAGGAAGCAAAGATTGTTGAGTAGAGTACAATTGCACTTCGACATGGGTTTTTGTCGGCCTCAAAGACCGAGGCCGGCGCTTACAACATATAGTAGGATGACAGTGACGGTGACAATGGATCATACTGATATGAAAGCAATAAACACATGACGATGATAATTGTGGTGATGATGACCGATGATGACGGTGAAGCAGAACACTATGACGATGGTGGGAGTTGTGACAAAAAGTGATGGTAGGTAGAGGTGGACGCGCGATGGTACTGCAGGTGAAATGAAGATTGCCATGACCTGCGTGATGGTGATGGAGAAGGTGAGAATCACAAAGGTGCTGAATCTCATAACGTTCCGGCGTGGACAACGATGGCCACGACGATGGCGACGAAACCTGCTACTTTCCTTGTGAATCTGGTCTTGTGTTGTCCGGCTCTAGCTTTCGAAGCTGTGCATGGGTCATTGCATTTGATCTGTGTCTCGTCTACCAGCAGGCGGCGCTGTGTCTCACTCGCCGGCTCGATCCCAAACCTTGGCGAAGATGAGAGAGAGAGAGAGAGAGAGAGAGAGATATATATATATATATGCTCGCCCCCCCCCACCCCCCTGCAAGATCCACGCATTCGTGATTCATGGGGCATGGGGTGCACGAAACACTGTAATGCTCAAAAAAAGTCCAAAAAAATCCAAAAATTCTAATCCCCAACCTTACCAAGCCCTGTAATGCTCCAGAAATTCCAAGATTCTGGCATCTATGTCCAGGCCAGGACCAGATTCCCAAAAGTTTTTGGAATTCATTGAGTATTACAGTATTTCGTGAGCTTTGGGGTTTGCAGTTTTGGAATTTTTTGAGCATTACAGTGTTTGGTGCTGACGGCACTTTGAGCACTGTCTTTTCGCACAGACTCCAACTTTACTAAAGCCTTACTTGCAGCGCCTTCCGAAGGACCACCGCTACACCAAGGCTGTGTTGGAGACAATTCTTACCGTTGCAATCTATACAGGGCCGCGCTTGAAAGCGTCAGGTCTCACAGACACTGACGAATGTTCTTGCAGCGCCGCAATCGAAAATCATCAACACTTGTTTTTTAGAATGTTCGTTGTATGGAAAAACGCGACCACGAAGAGTTCTGAACATCTGCTTACATGGTTCACCGTATCTTCTTGGTGCCCGATGAACTACAGGATAGTCAGCTAAATCACGGCTATCTGGTCAGTTTTCCAACTCAAGGCGAACGTTTTTGCTGTAGAAACAGAAGTCTTTGTCGACGGCTCAGCGTTTCACCAGAGATGGCGCCTGCTGCGAACTTCCGCGTCAGCAGTTGTTTTCCCCGGTCCATTTGGGAAGGCTTGTTTGTTGCCTGGTAAAGATCACACCTCGCAGGACGCGGAAATGTAGGCAGTTGTGTGGGGATTGAAACTTACATCTGGAGCCTTAAGGATTTATAGCGACTGCGCGTCAGTAGTTGACGCGGCCCTCTCTCCTCAAAAGTGCCGGGTACAGACTTGACGATGCCCGCAACTTTGACAACTACGACTTGTGGTGTGAGTTCCTAAAGGAGGTTTCTCGTGAAAACGGTCGCAATGTGGTGGTTGCCAATGTGAAAGCACACGTTTCGTCTGACTTTGAAGGTCAACCTGAATGGATGACTGAAGGTAACGCCGCAGCGGATCGATTGGCGAAAGCTACAGCCGAACAAGCGCTCTTGCATCGAGCCGTTGACATTCAGTCCCACCTAGTGGCCACTTTGGTTGCTAGGAAGGAGCACAGCAGTTCGTCTTGGGACCCAGGACCCAGCCTGTGAGGAAGGCGCAGAGCCCTTCAAGGAGTTGCGTATATCCTCTTGCTGTTGTTCTTGCTCCCCGGTTTCTCGCGCTAGGGGCAAAACTTCAGTTTGCAGGGGTGGTTGCGACACTCACAGGCTTGGAGTACTGGAGGACGCCTTCCAGAAAGCTGTCGCTCGTCGTTCGGTCCCTCCAGATGGGGCAAACCGCATTTGGATGCTTCATCCCAGCCTTAGCTCTTCCGTACAGTTCGTTGGTGTACTTTGTGCCCCAGTTCTCCCCCAAGAATGTGTAGGTATTCGCCTAAGGGGCTGTCTGGTGCCATCTGGTTTGTGTACAGCCATGGGTGAGTTTATCACTGATGGCCAATGGAAATGGGGCACAAAGAACTCCACTGACCGCACTTCAAGGGTGGTGTTGTGTGGAGATTTTGTAGCCAAGTATGGGCTTATCTCTGGGTTCATTCGCAAGAAATTGCAGCGCTCCTTTGCAGATACTCAGTTGGTGTTTAAGCATCTCAAAACAGCTCCAGAACCTATAACAGTAAGCTCATGGCCAAACCTTTCACTTCTCTTGTTCCCTCGTGGGACGAGCTTTTGTAGTTGATTGTAACTGCTTTCTCTGCAGATCGGACTTTAATTCATTCCGTTAATGGCTCTCTCGACAAGCTCGACAAGCTCTTCGTCCGGAGGCTCGTGAGGCTGAAGGATACCATGGGTAAAAACTTTGAGTACTGTTTTTGGTGCTGGGAAGTGAGTTCTGAGAGTTCAATGTGACTCTGTTGGTCTAGTCGTCGTCTTCTGGGTTCCTCGCCTGACCCCGTCGAGCGCGAGTGCAAAAAATGTATGTATGTATGTATGTATGTATGTATGTATGTATGTATGTGTAATATATATATATATATAAATATATATATATATATATATTTTTTTGATAATTACATATATACATATATATATATGTATATACATATACATATACATATACATACTAAAATTGCTCATGAGATCGGCTCGAGTCGGGTCTGCGTGATTTATTGTCCTGGATACTTGTGACCGCTAACGTTCAGCTTAGTT